TCGGGCCTCACAGCACAGGATAGCCCTGCTGACTCACTCTGTTGTGATCGTGCTCCGTAGCAAAGCCAGCCAAGGCTGTCACGTGACCATCTCCCTCAAAGCAAAGTCATGTTTGATCGGCTCAACAGGTGTTTCTGTGCTGGTTGTTAAGAGAAAAAAAGTGCTGGTTTTGGAAGCACATCTTTTGCAGCTTGTACCTGGATATCTGTGCTTTGGAGATAAGTTCCACTCCTATTATAGCTTTTGTGCTATTATTGTTGCTGTCTGTCCCTCTGTCTGTCCCTCCCTCCCTCTCTCTCTCTCTCTCTCTCTCTCTGTGTGTCTCTCTCTCTCTAAAACAATCAAGTCGAGACAGATGGACGCCCACCCAGAGCCTCGTTCTGCTTCAGGTTTCTACCCTTTAAAGGGTTTCTTTCTTTCTTTGCCACCCAGTGCTTCCTCATGAGGGAATGTTGGGTCTCTGTAAATTATACGGTATAGTCTACTCTAGACCTGCTGTATATAAAAGTGTCTCGAGATCATTTAACTTAAATGATTTAAATAAATAAATCAAACTGAAAATAAAAGCTCACCACTAGCAAACCAGCGGGGACTTTTATTGTGAAGCCACCAAGGCATATGCAATCTATTTGCAGTGGAGGTAATGGAGCTTTTCTGGCAGTGCTATTCTTCGATACAAATTAAATTCACATCATCCCATTGTGATCCAGCCAGCAAACTGTGGAAAATCATATGTTCTCTATCAGAACTGAAGCATATGAAGCATTCAGTTTGTCTCAAGGGCTGACATAGTAAATATTGAAGTGTGTATATACATTAGGTGCGTTAGTGTGTGTGTGTGTAATCTGGCACATACTGTTCCTCCGAAAGCCATCTATGGATTAATGTCTCCCATCAGTGAGGTGAGACCAACTCTAGATCGGTATGACATCTCATTTAGAGAAACACCACCACTTCCCTTCATTTATCTCACCCTCTGCCGAATGACGCGTGTGTGTGTGTCTGTGTGTGTGTGTGTGTGTGTGTGTGCGCATGGATGTATTTCCACATGTGCATTTCTGTCTGTATAGTGTCTTGCCTGAGTGTGAATGGCTGTATTTGTCAAATTGCAGCAAGAGTGAAAAGGTCTCATCTTGAAGACATTGTGCAGGCTGGACCGTCCAAATAGATCAGCGGCTACACGCACACACACATTCAAAGCTGAAAGGTCAATCCGACCTCTTGGCGGCGAACGGCCCACAGCGTTTAAAAACACCAGCCACACCAGTGGTGACTGATGGACTTCAATTTTCTC